ATGTCTAAACAATAACGTGGCCACAGCGTGACGTGAAAAAAGGCACATACCTTTGACGTGACGAACTCTGTATTCCCCGTCCACATGTAAACGCAAAAATCTCAGTTTTCGGTAATTTGAAACGCCGTTTACATGGACGAAACAGCTGCGTGTTCAAAAACACCCATGTAGGTGCGGACGTAGCGTAACAGAGTTAGTAGTTTATTTTATTACTACCTGTAATTTATTGCAGATTACTTGTATTTGTTTAATTGTTCACTAAATGTTGGAGGTGTGAAATAAACCGCAATGGAGCCAAATATGGGTGTGTGTGGTTGGAGGATGTGTTAGTGCGTGCGTGCACGCGCGGGGGAATTGGGGGGGAGGACGAACATTTTTCTTGTAAAACAAAGGGGGGCCAGCAAAAAAAGTTTGGGACCTCTGATCTAACTCTAGGCCTAAAATGTAGAAGGTTTCATATTTACCCACGACTGCAGCACTGAGACATGTGGGGAGTCACAGCTGAAGAAACACACTCGTCTTTAACATCACTGCACAACTTATATTAGTTCCACAGTGGAAAACACTTCATGGTCATAATGAGGAAACAATGTTAACGTGCAGTGTTTGGCACATGCTGTGGATGTTATGGACTCACGACCACAGCATTTATTTGCAGTTTACATCACTTCAGTATTCACTCTCTTTTAGCTCTGCTTTGGTCTCCACCATCAGTGCTGAATATTCTCTTAAAACAGAGCCCCCTGTTATGCCTTTTGGTCAAAAGTCAGTAGTTAGTGCATAATCTGATTAAGTTACGTAAGCAAGATGAGAAATAAGTTCAAAGTTAAGAAATATTATAAGTACTTCATGCTAAAAACAGTTCAAATGTTTGGGTTCGAAATTTGCTCAGAGTGAGACATCGTTATCGCAAGTGATCTTTGTGTTGTGCGGAAATGTGAGCGAGGGAGCGCTCTGATCATTAACCTATCTTTGACGTGTTTTCTCCGTAAGTGCTTCGGCAGTATTAAAGCAGTGAACACGCGTGTACCTGAGTATTAATGTGTTCAGAAACAACTTTTCTATGTGTTTACATGCAGTGAACTGTGACTGTGACTGTAATGGCAGGGGTGTGATGGCATACAGCCAGTGAGTCTGTGTGTTGGAAACTGGACAGCTGCCCTTGTGATGATGTTGTTATCTGTGTCTTTAGCGCTGTCTCCACATGCAGAATGGATTCTGTCATCCTGTCACGGCCTTCTGGAAATATGGCTGAAATCTTCCTGATGCCTAACTTAGAGAACAAGTACAAGGCCGCTAAGCAGCATCCGCTTGGATAACAAACAAACAGCCTCGGGCTGGTGTGTCACACCTGGGAGACACTTATAAATCTGATTTTAGCACCAGAATCAGTTCTTTAGCTCAGTAAATCCACAAGCCTGTGTGTTTCTTCACTGCTTATCCAGCTGAGCTTTACGGCGTGTGGAGGGGGGGTTGGAGCCTTTCCCAGCTTTCTCAGAGTAAGAGGTCACCGGTCTCCTCCGGCTATCCACGCTCACGTTAACATCTACAGTCAGTTTAAATCAGCGGCTAATCTAACAAGCAGGCACGTGGAAGCTGGAGAAAAATGTCCAAAACTGAGGAAGGGTACCAG